CCGCCACCCAGAATGGGCCGAAAACAAGAGCGTGCGGAGGCCAAAAAAACGGCCGAAAAATGGGGTGCACGGAGGCGGCAATAGGCGATGGCAATCCCTGCAGCCTGAAAAAGCTGATCATCGTGAGGTAAATCCAACCATTAATCGGCTGCTTGTGCTAATCAGGCTGTGCTGAAGCTGACGGGCTGTTTGCTGTAAGGAGGCAAATTGCTGGGAGGCAGAGGCTGGCGGGTGGGGGCCGGCGGGTGGGCGGGACTTCAGCAACATCCGCTGTATAAGACGCACAGACATTTCCACCCACTTTTTTTTTTGGGGGGGCGGGAGTACATCTTATACACCGAAAAATACGAATAGTAACTCTTGGCTGAAACTATCCTTACCTGCCCTGCATGACAAAAATGGCACCTGGAAACAATATCTGCAACCTGTGTTTCAGGTTCCTCAGGTGCTTTCTACTGGCTCTCTTGTATTACTCAGGGTGTTTGGTTCACTTTTTCTTCACTTACTCTGGCAAGGGCCATCTCCTCTAGAAGAGCAACTTTTCTTTGAAGGACACAAATGTCTTTTATGCATGAATGCAACCCCATCTAGATGGAACGTGTGCACTAATGCACAGCTGGGGTCTGGCTCCCACAGTAATATTAAAAAATCAGGGACAGATTTCTTGAAATGAGACGTTCACATCAGGTAGCATTTCAGTGGTCTGGAGATATAAATTTTTACCAACAGAGGTTTTTTTTTTGGTAGTGTGGGAGTTCAAAGCTTCAAATTTAGCATTTAAGGTAGTGCCCCTCCCCCACCTTTTGGGCACTGGATCCACGGAGATAAGACCATTTTGTGTGCTGCCTGCATCCCATGGATGGGGCTTCACTTTTTGGGCATACCCAGTTTCTGGCATCCCATGGCCTGGTGCTGGTCCATGGACCAGGAGTTGGGCCCCTAATTTAAAGGGAAGGGAAAGGAAGCGGGGAGGAAAGTGGATGAAGACAAGGGAAGGAAAGAAGAAGGGGGGAAAGAAGGGAAGGGGAGGGGAGAAAAGTGGAAGAAGAGAAGCGAAGGGAAAGAAAATGGAAGAAGAGGAGGAGGGGACGGGGAGGGGACAGGAGGAAAGTGGAAGAAGGGAAGGGAAGGAAAGAAGAAGGGAAGAGGAAGGGAGAAAAGTGGAAGAGAAGCGAAAGGAAAGGAAATGGAAGAAGAGGAGGGGGGACGGGGAGGGGACAGGAGGAAAGTGGAAGAAGGGAAGGGAAGTAGTAGAAGAGGAGGGGAGGGGAGGAGAGGGAAACGGAAGAAGAGAAGGGAAAAAATGGAAGAGGAGGGGGAAAAGGAAAGTGGAAGAATGGGAGGGAGGGAACTGGAAGAAGAAGAAGGGGATTGAAGGAAATGGGAGGAAAGTGAAAGGAAAGAAGGGAAGGGGTGGAAGGAAAATGGAAGTAGAGAAGGGAAGGGAAAGAAAGTGGAAGAAGGGGAGGGAAGGAAAGTGGAAGTGGAGGAGGAGAGCAAAGGGAAGGAAAATGGAAGAAGGGAAGGGAAAGGAAAGAAATTGGAGGAAAGGGAGGGGAGGGGAGGGTAAGGGAGGGGAGGGGAGGGAAATGGAAGAAGAAAATGGAAAGAAAGTGGAAGAAGTGGAGGGGAAGAAAGGGAAGGAAAGTGGAAGAGGTAAAGGGGAGGGGAGGAAAATGGAAGAAGAGAAGGGAAGGAAAATGGAAGAAGACAAGGGCAGGTTACCACATGACCCGGGGACACTGCAAGCATCGTAAATATTAATCAGTTGCCAAGCGTCCGAACTTTGATCACGTGACTACGGGGATGCTGCAATGGTCATAAACATGAAAAAACGGTCCTAAGGCACTTTTTTCAGTGTTGTTGTAACTTTGAACAGTCACTAAAAGAACTGTTGTAAGTCGAGGACTACCTGTAGTTTGGTTGGGAGGAAAAGGGTCAGGATAGCCCCTCCCTAGAGGGTCTCAGAGTCTGTCTTTAATGATGCAAGTTGTTGCTTTAGTTTGGCAGAGATTTCAGCCTATGGGTGAGGAACAATAAAGGAAACTGCTTCGAAGTCACTCTGTGTGTCTTTCTTGGTCTTTGGAGCCTGACATCAATCTTGTCAAACTGTGGAGTTGGGAAGGGGGGCCCTACAATTCCTTCAGGGAAAATCTTGGGAAAAGATTCTACTTTCCAGGTCGGTTAAGTTTCAGGAATCCTCATTGACCAAGCCCAGTTATTTTGAGATGGTGATTGGCAAGCCCCTTTTGGTTTCCTCCTCTCATTGCCTGCTCGAAGCACATGGAATGGCATCCCATGACTAAAGGTCTTTAAAGATCCTGGCTCTCAAGCCACATCGTGGCCTCCCTTTATGCTAATTTTGCTTTGATGAGTTAATTACACCCATCTTCCGTTCAGGGGTGGAATTTCACTGCTGTGCCGTTGACAAGTTAGCAAAGGAAGATTTTGATTGCACTGCTAAGAATTTGCCGACAGCCATCGACCTTGAAGCTGACTTGGGAGAAGCAACGGGGACAACTTGCGGATGAAGGAAAGACCTGGCATGCTCACAGTTTTTCCGCTGCCTGTAACTTGGCTGCCTTCATGATGCCACCACAATAATGCTAGGAGCTCGGAGAGAGGCTGACCGTCAGGTCCAGGAAAGAGCTGGAGCAGATAATTAAGCATCTGGCCTTCATCATGAATCAATCACTCATTCAGAGCAAATCAGGCTGATTTAAAATTAATAAGTTCACATTAGGAGTCACCCTTGCAAAAACCAGTGCAACAAAACCAATTTGGATCTCTTAATGAAGCTGTGCACCCTATGTGCACTAACAGGCACCCATGTGATCGAAGGAGACTTGCCAAAACCCGCAATTCCATTCAGGCAAAGGTGGCTTCACTCTGCGGTTTGCATTCTCCACATGTTTAGCATCTCATAGAAAGCAAGCGTTATCTTAAGCACAAATGACTCCTCGGTGTATCTCAGGCTCAAACTTTTCCAATTATAGCGGGTGAGTCCTGACTCTCAAAAGAAATTTTCAATTTTTCGGCCAATAAAAATGGTAGAGAACCTCAGCGGCAGGATAGAAATGTTTCTTGGTGGGTGATTTTCGTGCTCTATGTCCACAGTACACATGACAGAGAACCTCACCAGGAGGAAAGGCACCTATATTTGTAGACAGATGGGTGACCGAAAGAAAGAGTGAGACTTGAAGAGAAGCCCTCTTGACTGCACCTGAAGGCAGGACAAGAAGCAACGGATGGAAACTGATCAAGGAGAGATCCAATCTAGAACTAAGCAGAAATTTCCTGACAGTGAGAACAATTAATCAGTGAAACTACTTGCCTCCAGAAGTTGTGGGAGGTTTTCTCAGACTCTGGAAAAGTGCAGAGAAGAGCAACAAAGATACTTAGGGGAGTGGAGGCTAAAACATATAAAGAACAGTTGCTGGAATTGGGTATGTCTAGTATGATGAAAAGAAGGACTAGGGGTGACACGATAGCGGTGTTCCAATATTTAAGGGGCTGCCACAAAGAAGAGGGAGTCAATCTATTCCCCAAAGCACCTGAAGGCAGGACAATAAGCAATGGATGGAAACTAATCAAGGAGAAAAGCAACCTAGAACTAAGAAGAAATGTCCTGATAGTTAGAACAATTAATCAGTGGAACAACTTGCCTCCAGAAGTTGCAAACGCTCCAATATTGGAAGTTTTAACAAAGAGATTGGATAACCATTTGTCTGAAATGCTATAGGGTTTCCTGTCTAAGCAGGGGGTTGGACTAGAAGACCTCCAAGGTCCCTTCCAACTCTGTTATTCTGACTCATTGTGTTGGTTAAAACTTCTGCATGAGATATGGAGTCCTTGGCGCTGGTCTGAGCTTGGTAGTTTTCATGCAGACATTTCCAAACTAGCGCACAGATGATGTTATCTAATTTGGATGATGTGAAATGTCTGTAAGAAAATAACCAAGCTCAGACTGCACCAAGGAGTCCACATCTCAACCCTTGAGTTACACATATTCTCCTTTATGGGTCCTGCACTAGGGTGTAGATCAAAGAAGGACTGGAGTATGAATTTGCTAATATAAAGTAAAGAGGGGTTAAGTGGGAAAGTAAAGTATCATTTCTGGGGAACTGGGGGAAAACGTTAATCTAGTATATAAAGAGCTTCCTGATATCCTTCACTGACTTACCTGTCTGTCCCTCTACCCTCAGGCACACCTGCACAGATACTTTTGACATAGTTCTTAGGTAATGCCAGAAAAAAAAAACTAGGCAAAGGCAAATGAGAGCCAATTATAACTGAGAATGGTCTATCACACAAATAGATTTTCATTATTAAATACAATTTATCCTGTTTAATTAGTATTTTTCTGGACACAATGGTCCGGGCTCCAATACCATCTTTTCTTCTTGGAACTTCTAATTATTGCCACAACCCATGCTATTAAGCTGCTCCCCAGGCCTCCTCCAGCTTCTGTGCCGTTTAAAGCCACAAAGATTTTTAATTATCTCCGCTAAACTGACAAAGATACCTTGAAGAATCTGTGGCTTCATTCTCCCCTCCCTACCGTGAAAAAGAAAAGGAGAAAAGAAGGATTTTTAACCATGATTTTTTTTTTAATGAATGTGAGGAGAACAACCTCCTGGAAATACCCATTTAAATGCTAATTCTGATATTCCAGAGGTAACATGGGCCCAGCCGGCAAAGGCTTTGGGTGTGGCAGTCCTGTGTATGTCACGTAAATTCTGATCCTAGGAATTTGATAATCCAGTGATAAAGTACCAAACAGAACCTTGCCGATTTTATTTATTTATTTATGTTTGTTTATTAAATGTACGTGCCATCCATCTCACTATCCAAAGCGATTCTGGGAGGCTTACAATGTAATAAAAAAAAAAGGAATGTAAAAGTAGCTATAAATATTAGAGCAGTTAAATTGCTCAGCTATTGTAACCATCGCAGAATGCCAAAATTGTAGTCAATTATTCGTTCTCGTGCACACTTACCCAACATTCCCATGCCAAGCATAAAAGCATCCATAGTATATGGTAATCCACGAGCTCTTCCTCGTGTCCCTGGTGGAAACATCACTTCTTTCGGTTGTGCTTTCTTACATTCCACCTATAAAGCAGAAACGTGTACAAATGAAATGCAAATGAATTCAGGCAAAATGTCAAATCCTGAACTGGTTAAGATACGCGGGGTGGAGCTGGGAATTATTTTTAGCAGTCTCCTGTAAAAGGTGCATTTTAAAAACAGGACAGAAAATGATTTCCGAGGAGTAAATAGGCACAACAGCGGTTTCGGACAATGCCCGGCTTAGACAGGTAGGAAAAATACGTTGATAAAATGTAGAGCTACTATACAACCATCCAAATGGGCACTGAAGTCAGGTGCGTGGAAGTTGAGGGCAGCTCTATGCCCTCTGTTCCTATTGGAATAACAGTGTGATTAATGCCGTTTGAGCCATTCAAGAATATTGGGGTGGAGTGGGGAGAATAAAGCAAATCAAAATGGTAATTGAAAAAAGGGGGGAAGGTATCAGGGTCATCATCACCATCTTAACCAATTAAATATGGTCAACCAATTAAACATGAGCCAACAGTGTGTGGCAGCAGCCAAAAAAGCCAATGCAATCCTAAGTTGCATTAACAGAGGGATACAATCAAGATCAAGGGAGGTACTAATACCACTCTATGAAGCCTTAGTAAGACCACACCTATAGTACTGCACATCCAGTTTTGGTCACCATGCTATAAAAAAGATGTCGAGACTCTAGAAAGACTGCAGAGAAGAGCAACAAAGATGTTTAGGAGACTGGAGACTAAAACATACAATGAACACTTACAGGAACTGGGCATGGCTAGTCTAGTGAAGAGAAGGACTAAGGGAGACATGATAGCAGTCTTCCAATATTTGAGGGGCTGTCACAGAGAGGAAGGGGTCAAGCTATTTTCCAAAGTGCCTGTAGGCCAGACAAGGAATAATGGATGGAAACTGAACAAGGAGAGATCCAACCTGGAAATAAGGAGAAATTTTCTGACAGGGACAACAATCAACCCATGGAAACAGATACTGCCTTTGGAAGTTGTGGAAGCTTCATCGCTGGAAGCTTTCAAGAAGAGACTGGACTGACATCTGTCAGAAATGGTGTAGGGTCTCTTGCTTGGGAGGGAGGTTGGACTAGATGACCTACAAGGTCCCTTCCAACTCTGTTAATTTAATCTAATCTTAATTTTTTTACACTCTCTCATGGATGCTCTTCCTCCAGATGGAGGCATTTGCCCAGAGAACGGAACTTCTTTTACTTGATAGAAGATATGTGCAAAAGTAGAACAGAAAGCACCTTACGATAGTTCCTTGTGATAGCCAATACAGGCAGTCCTTGACTTATGGTTGCAATAAAGGCCAACATGGCCATGGCTAAGAGATAGCTAAGTGAGTTTTGCCCCATTTTATGACCTTGGTTGCACAGGTGTCGAGTTAATCACCGCAACTGTTAAGTTAGTCACACGGTTGTTAAGTGAATCTGGCTTCCCCCCGTTGACTTTACTCATCAGAAGGTCACAAAAAGTGACATGAGGCCAGGACACTGCAGACGTCATAAATACAGGCCGGATTTTGATTACACGGCCACAGGGGATACTGCAATGGTCATAAGTGTGAAAACTGATCGTAAGTCACTTTTTTGCAGTGCCATTGTAACTGTGAACAGCCACGAAATGAATGGTTGTAAGTGGAGGACTATCTGTAGCACCAGCAGAGGTTGAACAGAGATTGTGAAAACATTTGCCGGAATCTCCCTCTCCTTAAAAACATGTTCTCTTATTATTCATTTAAACTAGTGATGTCAAACTCAATTAAATTGAGAGCTGCATCAGGGTTGTGTTTGACCTCGGGGGGGGGAGGGGGGCTGGAGTGGGTGTGGCCAGGTGGGCGTGGCCAGCTCGCCGTCACTCGTTTCAGGAGCATCTGTGGTGGCCCAAGCGTTCTGTCAGCGAAAACGGGCTCCAGGGCTCCATTTTCAGCTGTGACGGCCTCCTGCAACCCTCTGCCAGAGAAAACGGTGCCGGGAGGGCCACATGCCTCTGTTTTGGCTGGCAGAGGCACCAGGGGCAAGGCCTTCACTGTTTTCAGGGTGGGCCAGATCTAAGCACCCTGTGAGCCGAATCTGGCCCCTGGGCCTTGAGTTTGACACCCTGATTTAGACAATTAGACAAACACCCATTTTTTAAAAGTATAAGTTAAATGTGGATAAGCATTGAAGATGAAACTGGAGCATAGGAGGAAGAAGAATGCCACCCACTCCACCCCCACTGAAACCAATGAAATTCATTCTGTGTCCTCAGACAAATAATTGGGTCAGGAGGGAATCAAGACTGCCTTCTCACCTCAGTTGAAAGTACTTCTTAATAAGAGTGCAGGTGGACTTTCGTTCTCATCCCTCCTAACACATCATGGATGGCACTTAAACTATATTTCATGCAGCCTGGTGATGGCAGACCTATGATACTCGTGTCAGAGGTGTCACCCCATTGCCATTTTTAGTGACACACCAGGTTTCTGAACCCTTTGGAAATTGCGCGAGAGGACTCTGCCCTCAAGTGGCTCCCGGAGCCTCGGAAAAAGGGAGTGAGAGCAGGGCATGCTTTCTCACTCTCCTTGGAAGTCACTGCAGGACAGGGGTCTCCAAACTTGGTGCTTTTAAGACTTGCGGACTTCAATTTCCAGAATTCCCTGGCCAGCATGCTGTAGGACAGTGGTGGCTAACCTTTTTGGGCTCCTGTGCCAAAAATTGCGTGCACGCTCACACTAGCGTGCTCATGTGCCAGTACCCAGAAGGCAATGTGTGGCCACTCCCATGCCCCCTGCACATGCGCACGCGATTTCCCCCACCACCGCCCCCTTATCTGCACTGCGTATGTTCGCGTCTCCCAGCTGATTTTTGTCCTCCCAGAGGCTCGAGGGAAGCCTCTGCAGCCTTTGGAGGCCAAAAAATGGGTCCGTTTCATCACTTCCGGTATGCACAGGCTGCAGAGGCTTCCCTCAAGCCTCTGGGAGACCAAAAATGTCCTCAAATGGGCTGAAAATCAGCTGGAAGGTGCTTGCAGGCGCAGTGAGGTAAGTTTGGCTGGGGCTCGCGTGCCTGTACAAATGACTCTGCATGCCACCTGTAGCACGCGTGCCATAGGTTTGCCATCATGGCTGTAGGAGATAACCTGGCTGAGCCTGGCTGAGGGTGGAGTCAAATACATCATCGGTTTGGAGTCGCTACACTTCAACATGAGACAAAGTCCAGCCTCCCCTTGTAACCATTGACTCATATTGGTTCCCAATTCGACTTAGGAGATCTGATTCTTGTCCAAAGTTTGCCTGGAATACCCAAAGGCGCTTTTTCAAGAGGCAACTGGACTTCCTTGTTTTTCTTTGAAGACGTTTCACTTCTCATCCAAGAAGCCGAAGAAGCTTCTCTTCACAGCCAAAGAAGCTTCTTGGATGAGAAGTGAAACGTCTTCAAAGAAAAACAAGGAAGTCCAGTTGCCTTTTGAAAAAGCACCTTTGAGACTACCATGACTGAGAATCTCCATAGAGGTTGCCTGGAATAAACTCACAGTGCTTTTGAACTCTATCCTGGCTCCTGTTTTCCTAGGCCCGACAGTCAGAAGGCTACATAGAGCAACTTGGAGCTGCTTCAGATAGGCATTTTGGGGGAAAAAATTACGATTATGTAAGTATTTATTTATCAAACAAAAAATTAAATAAGTTAAGTTATTACTCCTTGTTATGAATTGTTTCTCTTTTATCCAGAGTGGGTTGGGGCACGCCAGAAATGTCAAGTTAGGCATTTTCTGAAATTTTGGATACGCTGAGCTCAAATAGTTTACCATCACGGCCTGTTCCGAGTTGCAACCCCACCACCAATTTATTTCATCTTAAAGAGTGAACGTCCAAATAAATGTGGTCTTTGCAGAAACTTGGCTCACTTCTGGCTTTATGGAGGGGAGCGAGTTTCCCTCTTCAACTTCTCCAGATCTATTTTTGCTCATTTTAGAGTTCTCTAACACCTCCCTTTTTAGTTTCTCAGCTTCACGGCCCTCCTCATTTCGGTATCTGATTGTTAGATACAATTCGACCGGTGCTCTTCTTATCCGACTTTCTTCCGTGGTGCACAAATCCACCAAGAGATCTAAGAGGACATGTCAGTGTTTGCCCAAACATTTGGCTTTGAGAACTGCGCACGGGGAGGAATAAAAATCTGCCAGTGGAACAAGAATGGAAAGGTGTGTGGAGGTGCAAAACTGATAATTGCACCAGACGGAACGCTGTTAACCGACTCTATTTCTAATAGTGCTATCAGTAGCATTGAATCCATTGTCTTCTAGTAACCAACTGCCCGTTTCTAGGCAACCCGTCAGCGAAAATTTCAGGTTTGTGCAATTTTCATTTAGGTAACGTAAAGGTTAACTGACTGTCAATGGGAGTATTTAAAACAAAACCACCCACTCTATTCCCCACCCATCTCCGGCTATGAAGCCTCATGGTGTATCTTATTTATTCAGCTTGTAATATTTCATCAAGGAATAGACGTGGAGCATCTATTCTGCCAACACAGTTTTTCAACTTTCTAGCTTCTCACCAATGGCTCGGAGTTGGCCAGAGTTGAGGATTGGCACAGGATACCTCTATCGCAACCGTGCCCCTGTTTTTACTGTGGGAAGAAGTAGAGGGAGGTGCTCTTTTAAAAAGGCAACTGGACTCTCTGTCCAACTCAGAAAGCTCAAACTGCCCACAGAGCTGCTGCTGATACAGTTCTACAGAGGAATTACTGAGTCTGTCACCTGCACCTCTATAACTGTTTTGGTTCTGCAACCCAACATGACAGAGACAGACTTCAGAGAATAATTAAGACTGCAGAAAAAACAATTACTACCAACCTGCCTTCCATCGAGGACCTGTATACTGCACAGAGTCAAAAAGAGGGCTGTGAAAATATTTACAGACCCCTCACATCCCGGACATAAACTGTTTCAACTCCTTCCCTCAAAATGACGCTATAGAGCACTGCACACCAGAACTAGACACAAGAAGGTTTTTCCCCGAAAGCCATCACTCTGCTAAAC